TATATATATATATATATATATATATATATATATATATATATATAACGAGACGACGTCGCCTCAGTTTTTTGCCCACGTGGGGAGAAGAAACCGAGGTTTTTTCTACCCGTGCAGGGAGAAGAAACCCCCCACACCAAAAAGGGCACCGAGGCAGTCGCCTATATATATATACATATATATATATACATATATATATATATACATATACACACACACACACACCGAGCGGTATACCGAAATGTACCACTTGGTATACAATACCATACTGTACCGAGCGAATCTCGAAACTCCGATACGGTACAAATTTCAATCATTGGTCCTAACACTTTGAGCAAAAATAGATCATACATATCTCACATATATAAATTTATACAGATTATTTGGATGCATTAATAATTGGTATTGTCTATTAGTGAATGTTACTTGCACCAGAAAAATCTTGAGTGATTGGACTAAACAAGGTGAATTTCACATTACTAACTTCATAAATACAATAGAAGAGAAGTACAAGTATTCTATATTGTGCTATAGTAAGAGAGAACAGTTCATCCAAATTTGAGCTATACAATCATGTCTTTTTTATTTGATACATATGCAAAACTTACACTGAGCTGTACAATCGTGTTTGTGATTGCTTAAACAGACATGACAAAACCAAGGATAAGCCCAAGGAAAAACCCATAGTATTTACTGAAACTGTATATATATATATATATATATATATATAAACAATAACAAAGTGCATGAAAAGGATACCTAGGATAAGGCCTTCCTGAGATATATTCTCTACCATTGCCAACATTGCAAAAAGTGAAGAGGTGATGTCATTGAGACAACCAATCAACAAAGAAACAATAGAAATAGAGGCTTGGGAACCTTAAGCCAAATTTAATCATAAAAAGATCAACTAAGACAGGCCAACTAACTTTGTGTTTCGCGTGGGATTCAATGATGCAGTGGTGGTTTAAAGGTTTGCAATACTGCTCAACATGGTTCGCCTTATTGGTTCGTACCAGTATACCGGCCAACTATACGGTATGTACCGAGTTGTACCAAGCCATACTAAGCATACCAACACACGGTACATGAGAGCATACTGATATACCACCCATATCGGTCCCCTATCAAACCAGTATGTACCACCTATATCGAGCAGTACATTGCGATATGGCAAACCTTGCCGCTCAGTAAGGTTCGGTACAAATGGTATTTACTAGCCCAACAACCTACCAACACGTGAACCAGGATAAACTGGACGACTAATGCCTGGTATAAGACAAACCACCCATTATAAGTTTGTACCGCCTAATACAAGGCTTTGGATAGTGACTTTTTTTATTTTTTCAACCTTTTTCCAGGTTTTTTTTCTGAGCTTCGATATATATCGGTATACCTATACATAGTACAGCACAAACCAACACCTATAAGCCAGGACTAGTTTAAGTCAAAGTTTAAATCCTTGGTTTTAAGTCACCAAGTGGAAATTCAATTCATACCCCTTTTGACATATGAATAGCTTGTTTCCTTGGTAGGTTTCCTCTAGTAAACCCTAGACATGGCAACTAATACATATATTTATTATGTGATCATAATTCTATACTTTGTAAAATTTAGACAACCAATGATCATTATATGTTAAATTAAAAGAAACATAAAAGTCATTTGTAGAAGTAACAAGTGTTCACAAAAAATACTTCAAAACGCATAGGCAAAACATTATTCTATCAGCCAAAGTCTTAAAAACATTTTGTCAATATTTGATGTGTCCCTTTGTGGAGTTAATATAAGCATCGAACATATACAATTAAACTAAAATAATTATAGATGTACAAACTCATAGTGTCTAAAATAATCCAAAACATTTAAGAAAGCTATCATCTAACTGAAACAATCTGAACATGCAAATGGCACACATTTTCAAATGTCCGCTTACAGATGGGCAAAAAGTTTGTGGGGAATTTCAAGTTTTTTCTTCCTTTAAAATAGTACTTATCAAGGTTTGCAATTTCGAATCATACTGCTTGTACCGGGTGGTACATATCGGTCCGCCCGCGAACCAATCCGTCGAAGAAGGAAGAGGAAGGAGACGCTGACAGAGAAGCATCGAAGAAAAAAGAAGGAGAGGGCGTTCGAAGAAGAGGGAGAATCGGGAGAACCTCAATGCGAACTTGTTTCCACGCCCTTTCTCGATCCCGATCCGGTGCCGCCCTCCCTCGACGATCCCGATCCAGGAGGTAACGGCGAGGAGAGTCGTAAAGAGGAGGATCTGGAGGCACGGGGATTAGGGGAGGTGACGGTTAGAGCAACGGAAGAGGCGATCTCCTTCATCGCCTCGTCCGCGACTCTACGACCTTCTTCTATGCCAAGTTCTTTGTCGAAGGCCGGAGACATATGCGGCCTTCACCACATTCTTCGTCGAAGGCCGGAGATGTTTGTAGCCTTCGACGTCTTCATCGCCTTCTTTGCCGAATGCCGCAGACAAGGCGACGAGGAGAAGAGGAGGAGGCGACATCGCCGAGGCTGCATACGCCTTTTTTTTAATATTTTTATATAAAAATATCTATTTTATATTTTTATATATTAATTATATATATATATATATATAGGCATATCGCTCGGTACGACATATCATACCGTACTGAGCAAAGCTTGATATATTGGTATGGTACGAAATTTTGAAACTTAGTACTTACTGTTTCCACAACCAAAGGCAATTATTAAGGATAGAGGAGACAATTTATAAATCCTTGGATATTTAATAGAAGGTTTTTTCACTATCATGTGATGTGTTATTCCAAGGCTCAACAGAAGGAAGCTGCAGTGCTCGTCTCAGAAGCACACAAGCATATATCCTAGAAGAGAGCAATAGGTTTCAAAATGTAGGAATTGGCACAAAGATATTGAAAATGCACCACTTACCCATGCCCACATTAGACTTATATAAATACATGTTGAATTTTGAAACAAACCAAGATTTGAATTTATCTGTAGTATTGTTTAATTAATGTCAATGTCATATAACATTGTGTTAACAACACCACGTTTAGAACTAAGAATTCTATTCCCACAAGCATGGATGTGCAATCTTTTCATGTAGTTTGTGGACACCAATGTTCAATAGAAAAGAATGGCAATATCTCAAATCCAACCCTATCTGTTGAGGAAACACATTCACATGGACCAACATTTATATAGTGTAGATCAATATGAAAATAAATGTTGATATGCATGATGATGGACCATAAAATATTTTATGGTACAGAAGATATGCCCCTTCAATCGAGAGATCGGTAATTTGCACTTATCAAATGTGTATAGTCTTACCAATCCAACTAAGAATATCCCGACTTCCTGCCTTTGTCCTTCTAAGTTTTGAACATTTGATATATGTTGAACTTTAATCATCCACGGTTCTTTACCAAAAATGGATACTATCAATTTCCTCCAAGGCATGACAACCATTAAAAGAGAACTAACATGTCAGACACCATACTTTAAAAAATTTCCTTTTGACCATAACCTCAATTGCAAACATATGACAAATATGCTATGAACAAGGAAAGTATGTCGATGTCAAGATAAGATTCTTATATGGAGTTATCAGTTTAGACAATTAAGAGTTAAGATCCGTCAGAATTGTGGAAGTCCCAATGTGACGTAAGTAAAACTAGTGAGGTACCTAAATCATAAGAATAATTCAAACTGCAATAATTCTCACCGGTGTTTCTCCCTTGATAACAGGTGGAGCATACTCAGGATCACTGGGTTCAGCAAATTGGCTGACAAATTGTGCCATCCCTAAAAGTAAAGGGGAAAACAAAAAATTCAGACTTCAGTGGTGTCTATGTTTAAGAGAAATATATCTCTCGGTGGAGTAGCCACCTGTATATGGGGGACATTTTCTTTTCTCAACCGGAGGTTTATACTCCAAAGGTGCACGAGGTTCAAAAAGCTTCAAAAGATTAGTGGTAAGTCCAGTTGGATGACTCTGTCCAATCTGTACACAAGGAAACCAACGTTAAGCACCATGAACAAAAGTATCACCGAACATTTAAGCATCATGGTGACAAAGATAGGAAAGGAGGTAACTTTAACAAAAACGATAAAAGAACATGTCAAACAAAAAGCAAGACACAGAAACACAGGTAGTAGTATGCTAAAAAGAACAAAACATGTACAAATCCTAGTAGATAAGACAAGTTTCCTAAGTAATTAACTAATAAACAACCAGCACTTTCAAGCCGACAAAAAACCAAGAATGCAAAAGAAAAGCAAAACAGCAGACAGGATAATCAATAATAACATGAACCTGAACCTACTGACATTATGTGAATCCACGCAATTAAATGCCCAAAGAGTCGCAAAAGGAACATAAACTCGATGCCCTTCAACAACTCGCCCGATTTTTGCAGTCTTAATATTAAGTAATATGTAGTGAATGCTAAATAACAACTCCAAACCTACCTCAAAACCCTCACTGATATGCAAATCGAGAACTTCAGCAGAAAATGGAGAGAGAGAGAGAGAGAGAGAGAGAGAGATTTCTCCAGAGAAAACTCAATCAATCCTAGAAAAGCGACACCAGAGCAAAGATCCCAAAGCCATAAAGCTAATCGACCTCAGATCATAAAACCTAATCCAACTACAATCTACCGATAAGGGCACAAACAACGAAAAAGGGGAGAAAAAGAAATAAGATGTTAGGGTTTTCGAAGATTACGAGCTTCAACTGGAGAACGTTAGCACGATTCTGGGCCTTGGTGCGAGCCTGCACGGCAGGGTTATTGCGGTTGAACGGATCACCGAAGTCGCCCATCGCTAAGGGATGGATCGATCGATGAATCGAATGTGATGGGAATCGCCGCCTTTGGAGAGGCGAAAGCGAAGCAAGCGACAGCGAGGAATGAGAAAAGAGGCCCCTTTTTCTATTTTATCTTAAAAATTTTAAATATTTCACAATTATCTATTTATAAATAGACATTTATATATCCTTAACATCTTTAACTTATAATCAAATACCAATAAAATCCATTTCATTTTTTCCTTACAACTTTTTTTCCTTCCTTTTTCTTTTTTTTTCTCCTAATCGCATGTAAAATGATAAAAAAAAATATATATATTCTAAGAGGAAGAGGTGAGAAATAGTTTTTCATATTTATTTACATGATTTAATATTTTTAAGATTATATAGATAGATTATGTAATAACTTAGAAGATCTTTTGGGTTAGTTAGATTGGCCAAGAAGATGTGGTCAAAGCACTCATCTTCTAAGTATTTTTAAAATACTCAAAAGTATAATTGTTTTTTGGTGATTCAAAAATATCTAAATATATCATCTTCGAGTGATGATAGGATAATCAAATGTTCATATAGATATTTTAAGTATTATACATCTTAACAGCTAGAAGAATAATATTAACTATTTTCTCTCGTTTAAATGTAATATAAATTAAATGATATAAATATTCAACTCATAATATTTATTATATTTTTAGGATGATGTTTTATAAAATAATCCAAAAGAAATTAAATTTAAAATTATGAAATTATTTTCTCTCCTCATCCTTTTTCTTTCCTCTCATGAAAGCGAGTGATAGTGGTGGGTGACGAGAAAGGTGGGAGCTATTGCAGAAGGATAATTTTGATATTATTTGAATTAGAAATATGATTTTAAAAAAATAAAATTATGGTAATAGTTTAAAGTATATAAAAAAATTTTAGATATTTTTAGGTTTGGAAAAAACCTAAAAGAAATTTTTTTCTAGAAAAATCTTCCAAATATATACCCGAAAATACTTTTCCGAAATGTCATATGTACCCACACTTGAAATATGCAGACTTGTTCAGGGGATATCGAATAGGGAGCAGTTCCAACGTCATAATAACAAAGACAAAATTCAGGTATAACGTCGCTTTTGTGACAAGACGAGCCGCGGGCGACAAATTGACTTCCGAAAACACTATTTACCCGTCTCCGCGTTACCCGCTCTCCTACCTGGTAAGCAGTCTCTTGGTCCCATCTGTGGGCCCCGCATCAGTAAATTGCTTCCACAATGGGCGCACGGGTTCGACGGTCGAGTAGTTCGTGCGCATTGTCCGTTGCGTTAAGTTGCTGATCTGGTGGAGGATCATGACAGACGCATCGTCCGTTTAACCGACACAAATACTGTAGCTCCCACCAATGGCCTAGGTGGGTCCACCGCTTCCTGTAATCGCAAGGCAGGTAACTGTGCTGGTACTCGTGTTTTGAATAAATCACTACCCTGAAAAACCGTCGTGCGTTAGATCGAGATCGAACGGCCAAAGAGCGCTGATCAAATCTTAAAGCTACAGGGGAAGTGATTTACTCGGACGGCAGGAGCATTTCGAATTCGAGATTAGGCGGCAAAAACAGACGCTAGAAAGTGACGGTTGTTAGCCCGTCACAACCGCGAACCAAACTGCCTGTAGCTGGCAGCCATCGTCTTACCTAACCGCGGTTAGCTAACCCGGGTTTATTATTTGAGGGCGGGACCCTAACTTTGCTCTTCACCACCACCCACCGGTCCTCCGCCATATAAAACGCTTCAGAGAGGCGAGGGTTGGAGGCATCCGAAGGCGTCTTAGTACACGCCGAAGCCAAACTCTCTTTTCCTTTCTCTCATCTCTACATTTTTGCCGCGAAGATGAGAGAGTGCATCTCGATCCACATCGGGCAGGCCGGAATTCAGGTCGGCAACGCCTGCTGGGAGCTTTACTGCCTCGAGCATGGCATCCAGGTTCGATCTCGGACTCTGCTTAGTCTTCGATATGGTCCTTTTCCCTTTTGTCTTGATTTATTTCTGTTGTAATAGTTTCTGATTGCTGAATTTGTGATTGGCCCTTAGATCTCTGGATTCTGGGAGTTTAGTGTCTAGATCTTAAGGTTTTTTCTTCTTTTTGTGCATAAGCATGGGCTTGTTATGTTAATTTGTTTATCCCTTGATATTTTTTGGCATCCCTCTTGCATGATCTCTTTCAATGAGCGTGAGATTTGTGTTTTTGTTCAGATGGATCCGGGTATCTTGTGATATGCATATCTATTGAGTTCTAGATTTCTTCTGGCATTTCATAGTGATCGATCGTTCGATTTGTTTCCATAATTCTTGGTTGATTGCAAAATGTTAGCATGTTCATCTATGAGACATCATTTTAAGATGTTCATCTAATTTTCGCTCTTTATGACAAAATTAAGCAATCTGTTTAGGATCCTTTGGATCTCAAAGGACTCGCAGTCGGTTCTGGTTCTATTTTCTTGGGTGATGGTTTGCATCATGAGGTTCCAGAAGGATTTAGAGTCAGATCTCTGTCTTTGGTGATGTAATAGTTCTATATCTTATAAACAAGCTTATGTCCGTTAATTTTACTGTCGTTTTGCCCGCTGGGCCTGTTTGTTCTGTTTCTTATATGTGCCAGATCTCGTGATTTTGGCCAGATCTGATTCCGTAGGGTGTGCGGTGCATGTAAATCTAGGTTGGCCGGATCTGATTTCTTAAGTTGTAATAGATTATTATTCTCGTGTTTGCTTCCGTTCTGGTCAAATCTATTTTGTTTTCCTACGGAGCCATGCTGAACAACTATCAAACAGTTTTCCCAAGTAATATTTTTGATAGACGTTTGTTCATTTTTGCCCAAATCAATGTATCAATTGTTCTGAACTATATATCATGCTGTTGTGCAGCCTGATGGCCAAATGCCTAGTGACAAAACTATTGGCGGTGGTGATGATGCTTTCAACACCTTTTTCAGTGAGACTGGTGCCGGGAAGCATGTCCCTCGTGCAGTATTTGTTGATCTGGAACCCACAGTCATCGATGAAGTAAGAACTGGAACATACCGCCAGCTCTTCCACCCTGAACAGCTCATCAGTGGCAAGGAAGACGCCGCTAACAACTTCGCCCGTGGCCACTATACCAGTAATTACTTGTTCTTCCACCATGCTTGCAATATCGCCTGATGCAGTGATAATGCATGATGCTTACATTTTATACGCTCTCGTTCTTGCAGTTGGCAAAGAGATTGTCGATCTCTGCCTTGATCGCATCAGGAAGCTTGCGGACAACTGCACTGGCCTCCAAGGCTTCCTTGTTTTCAATGCTGTTGGTGGTGGCACAGGCTCCGGCCTCGGCTCTCTTCTCCTTGAGCGTCTCTCTGTGGACTACGGAAAGAAGTCAAAGCTGGGGTTCACGGTCTACCCATCACCTCAGGTCTCCACTTCTGTGGTCGAGCCCTACAACAGTGTTCTGTCCACCCACTCTCTTTTGGAGCACACTGATGTGGCTGTTCTCCTGGACAACGAGGCAATCTATGACATCTGCAGGCGATCTCTTGACATCGAACGTCCCACCTACACCAATCTTAACCGCCTTGTTTCTCAGGTTCGCACTCGCATCTCTTTGAGCATCAGAAAAGAAGTAAAACATCATCAAGCTTCATGTAATATTGTTCTTCGTTTACAGGTGATTTCTTCCCTGACTGCCTCACTGAGGTTTGATGGTGCCCTGAATGTTGATGTCACTGAGTTCCAGACCAATCTGGTCCCATATCCAAGGATCCATTTCATGCTCTCATCATATGCTCCTGTTATCTCTGCCGAGAAGGCTTACCATGAGCAGCTCTCTGTGGCTGAAATCACCAACAGCGCCTTCGAGACATCTTCCATGATGGCAAAGTGCGATCCTCGCCATGGCAAATACATGGCTTGCTGCCTCATGTACCGTGGAGATGTGGTGCCGAAGGACGTTAACGCTGCTGTTGCTACCATCAAGACCAAGCGCACCATTCAGTTTGTTGACTGGTGCCCGACTGGATTCAAATGTGGCATCAACTACCAGCCGCCCACCGTGGTGCCTGGTGGTGATCTGGCCAAGGTGCAGAGAGCAGTGTGCATGATATCCAACTCCACCAGTGTTGCTGAAGTCTTTTCACGGATCGATCATAAATTTGATCTCATGTATGCCAAGAGGGCCTTCGTGCACTGGTATGTTGGTGAGGGCATGGAGGAAGGAGAATTCTCTGAGGCTCGTGAGGATCTTGCAGCACTCGAGAAGGATTACGAAGAGGTTGGCGCTGAGTCTGCCCCCGAGGACGAGGATGGTGATGAAGGGGATGAATATTAGGATGCTGACAAGCTTCACCGTTTGTTTGTGTGGGAACCCCTTCCCCTTGTGTTTGTGTTTCAAGCTTCCTATCGTTGCGTCGTCTTTGCCGCTGTCTGTATGTCATGTTAAGAGACTGTTGGTGTGATGTTATTGTCGAGAATGTTGTTCGGATGCTTGTTTTATGATGCTATCATGTTAGCTCGTCGTTCCCTACATAATTTTCTTTGTTGAGTTGAGAGTTTTCTGTAGATTTAAAGATATCGTTCGTTGGATGTTCTGTAAATTACGAAGCTCCACTATAGACACAGCTACCTGTTCCGGATTAAACTAGAGTGCAATCGAGTTATTGAATTCAGATATCATTGGTTTAAATAAGCTGTTAGTTCATCGTCATGAATTTTTACTTTGGACAGAAGTCATGGACGTTATCTTGTCATGACCTTAGTTGGAATTGTCTAAGGCGTGAGACACCCTTGCGGCCAAGATGCAAATTTAACTTACGTTGCCTAAGTCGCATGGCACCCTTGTGGCAAAGATGCGGACTTAGCTTGCGTCCGCAAAGATTAGCCCACTTGCAATCTCTCGTCTCGAAGGACCTGTAAAAGAGAAAGTTGATTAGTTCGAAAGAACGAGCAACAGACAAGTCTCGACGTCTTACGAAAAGAGGGGAAGCTTTACAAGCAATTCAGCGAGCACTTTGCATGCACAAGAGAAAAGAGGGAGAGGGGGAAAACAAGGACTTTAGAGGATTGAACGAACTCACCGAGTGTTGGGTGCGACAACAAGTTCCTGT